AGAACCTTAAACACCTCCCACATCTGGATCTTCTTGCAGTGTCGTAGGTATCTACGCTACATTTAATTACCGCGCTCGTATTGTTTTTACTTATGGCATCTGTGTTTGTTTTGTTAAAGGCAACCTAATTTGGTTTTCCTTATTTGTTGTCATATGTATACTGTTACAGTAGAGGATGCTCATATTGAACACAGGCAAAGTTAAGAGTCAGAGACAGACTGCTGTAAGCACTCTGTCTCTGACAGATTTTTCTGCTCTTAGGTCTGTACGATGCCAATGAAAGCAGATACTTCTATTTTGAACTCTGAATCATGCAAAGCTAGTTATTTAAGAATAAAAACATGCAGTTGAAAATGAGCCGAATAGGTTCCCTTTAACAGGAAACAGGAAGTTGCCGGTTTCAAGTTTGCTATGTTGTTATTTCATAGTTAAAGAATCTACACCTTTAAGTTTGAGGTGATTCTTCAGAATGTGCCGTCTGAAGCAAAGAAGAAAGTAGGTAATTGAAGGCAGTCCATGGTGAAAGCTGCTGAACATATGGCCTGATGTGTCCTTGGCTTTGGTTCAATCAGATCTGCGCATACGGTTTCGACCCACATCCTAAAGTGCTCAGCAGTATGTGACATTGCACTGAGGTTGGCTTAGTGCTATATAAGAAGGTGGTCCAGTCAGCGCAAATATAGCACAAGCATGTGATCAAATGGCACACGCATACGATTGAAACCCGACTTGTCACAGGACACTCGTGAACACGGGCCCAGCAAAGTTTCACATGCTCTGTGCAAAACACAAGACAGCTGTGATCATTTTATTATTCACAAAGGACATGCATTGTAGATGCAGAACATACCATGAAGTATTCTTTATTGAATATGAAGTAGGGCTGCCACAAATGATTATTTTGATAGTCGACTAGTCACCGAATATTTTTGCGATTAGTCGACTAATCAGATCATGCATCCATTGGATGTAAAACGTACAGCTTATTGCACCAGCAGCATCTGCTCTTATGTAACTATCATTAGCTTACAGCTTTAAGTGTTTAAGGTATGTGCTAACTAAAAATAAAGACAAGATGATAGTTTATTACATTTTAATCAAATTTGCAGATTGTTTTGGTGAAGTTTAATAAACTCAGTCTCGTCTGCTCCTTGCTATCTAAAATATAACAGGACACCGGAGTATATTCTCAAGCATCTCACACTTCTGATGATCAGTTGTCTGCTTGATGTTTATTCAGCTGTGTAAAAACTATAACTTTAATCTCAGCCAAACCGATTTACTCAGGAACAAATAAAATACTAAAAAAAGCCAAACAATAACATTTTTAAGTTATCTAAGTAAGTTATCATGTTTAACCTGAGTAGCAAAAGACTGCGGTGGGTTTGAAAACGATTTGCCGGGAGTCCGGTGTTCTCACCGGCTCTAGTGACCTAGCCCCCGGCTAGCTATCGAGCTGGTGGGTAACAGACGTCTCCAAAAATGTTGGAGCGCTTTTGAAAATATGTGGTGTCTTAATAAACTGAGCAGATATTTGAGGTTTATACAGCTACAGTCTCGCCTGAAAATATGTTAAATGTTTATTTTGTGACCCAGAAAGAATAATAAGAGTAACATTAAAACTAACCAGCTGCCGCCATTGTTGGAAACTGAGCTGGGCCACGCTATGAATCCTGGGACACAGCTTCTTCTTCTTCGGGGTTTAACGGCAGCTGGCATCCTTGTACATGCAGTGCTGCCATCTTCTGTTTCAGTCCGTTATTACACTCTTAAATCCTGCTACTTATTCCTGCGTCCTAAATCTTCAAACGACGAGTCGACTATTAAATTAGCCGTCGACGATTTTGATAGTCGACGTAATCGTGACTAGTCGACTAATCGTGGCAGCCCTAATATGAAGATTATATTATAGTTTAAGGATTACACTATTATGCAAGTAAAGTTAAAAAAAAACAAAGCAAAGAAACATCAAAATTTTTAAACCCTGGTGTGAATCATCCAAAAATTTCACAGCTTCTCCATTCAGTTCTCTTACAGTTTCCACATTTTCCTTCATGCTAAGAAACCTTCTTCCTTGTGCCCCATCTTCTTTTTTTCTCTATTTTTTGCCCACACAGGCCTACAAGGGAAGAGCCCTCCAGCTAATTAAAAACTTGCCAGTGGAATTTCGCTGCGACAAAAGGAGCTATTCATGTCAGCAGGACGGTGAAAAGGCTGCGCCGGCAGCAGCGATAGCATTGCTCAGCGTTAGCAAAATGAAGAGGCTTTACTTTGAAGCTCGTCCTCTTACGAAGACACCCAAGCACTTGACTCGGTGCATTGCTGCTCTCCCTTTGCTTCTGTTTTGACATCCATTATCATCTGATGCTCTGCAGTGGGGGAGTGCAGCTTAAACTTGAGTGTCAGTAGGTCTGCGTAGCTGACCTTCAGTCTGAAGATGCTGTCCTTAATGAGTTCATCTGTTGCCTGTGAAACGTATCTGACCCATACTACATTTTTCTTTTTTGCACACAAAAAAAATCCATTATAGACTCGATCCATTTCACCGCCACGTTGTTAGTCCACCCCTCGGCTGTATCTGCAAGGTCAGAGATCCCATGTGCAAACTCAGGGAATGACCTTCGGCCTCATCTGTTAGCCAAATTAGTCATCTTTAGGGCCTTCAGTCTATCAAATTATCCACCCATACCCTCATCCATCCATCCAACCTTCCTGTTCTCTCTGCAGCAGTTTCTCCGGGAAAATTGATTCTTTACGTTAAAGCAGAGGGGAGTTCCCTCGTATGTGGTATTTTAAGTGCAACCCACACTTTCCATTGCAGACACACGTCATCGAGAGTACATTGGTAGTGGGTGATATGAATAGAATTCACTCACAGTGTATAGTACATACTCTGAAACATCACTTGAGAAAATTGAATGTGAAAGTCCATTGTTGACCTTGGCAACAGCGATTGATCCTCCTGCAGCAGATGGAATATCCTTGGTGGAAAACTCTGGAGAAAAGTATTGAGTGGACTTCAGGCTAGGAAGTATATGTCAAATTGAGATAGTATTGACATTAAATAATAAATGAGGAGAAGAGGAGGAGGAAAAGTGTCCATTTCAAGAAGCTGAAAACGCTTTTCTCCAAATCTCAACTTTCTTTAACTGACTGCAAAGTTGTCTACATCATTCTCTGACTTTTTTTGTTGACACTTTCCAGTTTTGTAGTACAGTCAGTTCAACATATGGAGACATACAAACAAAAGCATTACTTCAGGCATTTCCTATCGTAGGGGATCGTGGAGACATTAAGGGCTTCCTTCCTTCTTCAACGTCTTAAAACACTTTCAAATTTCTGTTTCCTTCCTCTTTCTAATTTTTTATTTATTTTTTTTACCATGAAGTGATTTTCTCATGTGTTCTTGAACCCCCTCTCTCATTCAGTTTCTCTCTTCCTCTCTTTCTATTTCCTCTTCTGCCTCTAACCTCTGTCATTGTGTGCCAAGTAGCTGTTGTAGCCAGTATGCATTCTGACACTTGTGGGCATTACTGTCCTCATGGAGCTTTATAGGGAGACAAACTGTAATGAAATGCTACAAGGATGCTGGGATGTATTTGTCAACAGTATAGTGTTGTCTACTAAAGTATTCATTTAGGTGTCACCAGAGAATAGACAAGCTGAACTAAACATCTTTCACAGCCAAACCTCAGACATTAAAATGAGACATTGCATGCTGAGTCACTGCTCCATTGGATAAAGTCGAACTTGTGCAACAGAGTTTACTTTTGTTAAGTTACTGTGGTTTCATAGGCATAAAGTAAAGCGTCATATCTGTGGAAAATTGAATATTTTGGGGAGAAATGTGTTTGAAAGAATTAATAAGTGTGAAATGACAGGATGTAGATAAGAAAGGAAGGAAAAACAAAAGATGGGCTTATGATGACACTACATGCGGAGCCATCAGGGGTTTTCCTGTCTCAAAATTGGCCTTTGGGGAGTGACTTTGCATCTAATGTTGATTGGACTGTGTGCACTAAAGGCAGTAGGTCTGTGTCATTTTATGTGACAGAAATCTGTGTCTGTTATGCTTGAATAAATGAAACCACAATCTATAAAACTGGTTAAAAATATCTAATGCCAGTGCTGAGGTTTTCTGACTAAAACCTCTTAGGAATTTTAGTGGCTAAAATTCCCCTATGTATGAAAAACCCTGGCCATATGCTGTGCAATAGTGGCTTTTGCTTTTTAACCAATTAATTGGTTAAAGTTCTTTCCCCCCTGTTCCAGTCCACATTCAGCTCTTTAGCTTGTGTACATACAGGGTTGATGTCGATCCTTTTATCTCACTTAAGTGGCCCACATAGTAGCACAAAGTTTCTAACCTGAGATGATATGTAGGTGAAGATCAGAGTCAGAGCCTGCTCCAGGAAGCAGATGTCTGCAGCATCTGTCTGATGCGAGACTTTCAACGTTCACTTCTAGTCTGACTGCAGCTAACATAAAACCAGTTATGCTAGCTGCAGGAGGACGTTTCTGCGTCCGTTACAGCATGACTGTGACACAGACCCATACATAAAGGTTTGGCTTTCATGTTGGTCTCTGAGGTAAACAGGCCAAGTCTCCTGAGGCCAGAGTTAAAGAGTTAGAGAGAAAAGAGAGAGAAGGAAAAAGAAAGTGAGACGGAGTGGAAGAATGGGACAATAGAAGAAAATGAGAAGGAAAGGAGGAAAAAGGTGTGTCGAAGGAGAGTAACGTCAGGTGGTCAAAAGAAGGATGGAGTGAAAAAACTAGTTCTTCAATGTGAAAGAATGAAAGAATTGAGGAAAGGAGAGAACAAACAGAAAGGACAGCAAGAACACTGAGCCTGAGGAATGAGGACAAAGGGCAAGGAGGTGCCGTTACTGGCCTTTGTACCGTGTACCTTTGTTTGTCTTCTATATATTATATCCCTGCATCCTCCAACCACCACCTAAGCTTTTCATCCACTCTGACAATCCTCTTTTTATTTCTTCCAGAACGGAGGCAAGGCGGACTACACAACGCAAGAGGCCTGGGGAAATCATTAACTCCACGCTCGCGCAGTATGACTGGTAGGCTGTGTTCTGCCTGTCTTCTTGTGTATTTAATAAATGTATGCTTATTATGCGAGTGTACACAGCAGAGCCTCAGCGAGCCGCTGGCTTGTAGCCGGTGCTGTTTGTATAGCCGTTCATTATCTAATTGTAGCAGTGCCCACATGCCCACTTTGTCTGCTTGGTCCCACTGATCACTTGCTGGTCTGATTACATAGATGTAATTTTCACAGAGAAACGGTTCGACACGTCGGATTCACTGTGTGAAAACAATGCAGTATTATCATAATGACACAGCACCATCACCCAAATCTGCAGCTCTCCTCTGCTCCGCAGAGCTTTATGGCGAGTTTTTCTCTCACACCATGTCTGCAGCTCTCGAGAAACCCGTTGTGCGCTACCTGATCCACAGACAGTAAGCAGGCAAAGTTGAAGGCTTCCGCAGTGGAGTGGCTGGAAGCTAGAAAGCCAGATATTTCCCTCAGGGGTTGATTGGGAATAAAAGCAATACAAGAGAGACTGGAAATAAATAATAGATTCTGCAGTCGGTGTTTTTCATGTCGAGTTGATGATAACGTTGCGTTCCTGTGCTTCCACTTCCAACGATTGGGAGGAAAACAAGCATTTAATTCCTCTAAATTTTTTGAAATGTCAGTAGGATCACTGTGGATTGCTCTGTAGTGTTTAAAAGTACACAGCAAAAGAGCGTTGACTGTTATTTATGTGTGTGTGTGTTTTCTTTTTGGAATGTCTAACCTCTTTAGATCACCATTGCTTTTATTAATTAAAGACTGCCAAACAGGGGACTGACTTCATTGGTATTCTGGAGCTTTGTTTCTTTTGTTCCTAGCTTGACAAGCTGTGTCTGCTGCTCGTGTAATTTTCAACTCTCGTCTCAATATTTCATCCAGTTCTTCTTGACCAAAGGGGAAAACCCCCCACTAATGTGCCACCTAATGTCATGGATTGGACTATTAACAAGTGTGTGCAGACTGACTGATTTATGTAAACATATTCATCTGTCAGAGGAAGAAGAAGCTCAAGCACCTGATGATTTGACACTTGTTTTGCATCACGTTTGCGCCATCATCCTTCACTGTGAGTCGTGTCTCGTCGTAATGACAGAACTGAATATTCGGGACTTTTAAGTTTCCTTCTGACTGGAGGGGATGTCTATAAAATATTTTCCATTCTTTGTCTTACAAATATTAATCAGCAGCAGTACATTCATCTGCTGCAGATCATTTATATCTGACAGAGCTGTCACACATCTTTTAAGGTCTTATTGGCTGGAATAACACTAGATAATAAATTGATCATCCAAGTAAATCAGCTGATCTTACTGCCAGGCTCGTCGGGTGATGGCTCAGCTGATACCTTCTATACATGCAGTTGGGTAATGTCATATAGGAAGTGATCGCTGCCTATCCTTGCTACTTCCTGCTTTTTCATGTCTGACACTGATGTGACATTTGACATTGATGTCTGCTCTGTTCAGTTTCTGAAAAATATATTTAGTTGTTGCAGTGTTCTGGTAGGTTATAAATATGCAAATATGTACGGTGGATTTGTGTACGTTGACAGTTGTATTTAAATTTGTTTGAGTCATTCAAAGATTAGTTTTGGGTCAAAGGTCTCCCTTCCTCTCCCGTCCTTTCCTCTCCCCTTTCTGCACAGCTGGGGAGAAAGGGGAAGCATATAATTGCAGTTTAATCCTCTAAGTCCCTGCAGAGGAGGGAGGCAATGCATAGCGGCATGGACAGAAGAAGACAGAACAGCCATCGGAGTTGTTTGGACAGATGTTTGCAAGCCAAATGGGGACTCCTGTCAGTCACAGGTTGAAAGTGTGCATGTTAGATGGACACGTAATGTCGGAGCATTTGTAACAACAAAAGAATATTGAACATTTGACTGACTCGTTGTTTGGTAGCTTTTGCGATCAATATACACCTCAGGAGAAGTATTCTTTTATACTCTGAGCTTTTCTCACTTCTATTTCTTAATTTTAGTGAAGAGGAGACAGTAGAGCAGGGAGATGGAGCATCAGATGGCCTTGGGTTAGAATCAAAACCAGGCATCTGCATTTGGCCCCCTGTTCAACCACTGAGCGAAAACAATACCCCAGTAGAAGGGGAAAAAAAAGTCTGTTTTAAGCATTGACTTGTGTTGTAACTGATTATGATACTGCTGTAAATAATTGACATTCAGGATGCTCATCCTCGAAGGTTCGTGATTCAGGTTGAGAGATTGGTTAAACTGTCCAACAACCAGGTATGCCAGGGGTGTCCAGGAATCTGTGTCCTGCAGGTTTTAGATATCACCCTGGGTCAACACACCTGAATCAAATCAGTTCATTACCAGGATTGAAAGCCTATTTGACTCAGAAAATCCTGCAGATTTGACTGATCACTTGGTTTATTAGTTTGGCATGTGTAATAAAATATTAAGGTAAACGATTCTTTGAAAGGCATCCAAAAACATACAAGGTATGTTTGCTCATCAAACCGAACCTTCATCAGTCATAAGAAAAGTTATTTTTGTTATAGCGTAAAGCAAACCTGCAGTAAGCAGCCATCCATCTGATATACATTCTGCATCCTGGATATGGGAGTATGTGTTTACTTGCTCACCTAAGCTATAGAATATATAGCAGCTGCAATAGAAAATGAAACCCTGTACTCTATATCATCCAGTGAAGGTAGAAGCCTCAGGTTGTAAAACATGCTCCCCTGTCAGGACAGCCTTTTCTGTCATAATGATCCGCACTGTACTGCATTTCTGTGTATGCTGTAATTCCAGAATATGTGTGAAGGAGGAGAGATTTAGTCAGCAGGGAAGAAAAATTGGTGAGCAGGACATTTTAGAAGGTGTTTTTAGCCCCAGGAAGCGTGTCTTTGAGAACTGGAGTGGGGGCAGTGAAGGCTTTAGCTACACTTTAAGGTTCAGGGGTTATGTGTGCATGTTTGTCTGGTGGGGTTACTCCATGTATAAGCGCAGCCATGTGTTTATGTGAATGTGTATCTTTAAGTGCTTGTGTGTCTTCAAGTGGAGGCAATCGGGGAGCGTTAGGCAGGGGTACAGGGAGGCGAGGAGGGCGAATCCGTCTCCCATCACTTGGCTACAGGCAAGCGTTCTTAGCACCTCGTAAATCTCACCTGCTGCTACAAGACTGCTGCTGACATAGCTGCTATAGTGCGTACTGTACTCACAAACATTCGTGCACACATGTGGTGTACATGCACATTTCGTAGAGCGTGTTGCATGCAGCACCAGAGTCGGTCATGTCAGCAGCAGGAGTGAAATTGGGAAAATAAAGTGATGTATAATCTGTCTGTTAGCGTTCCATGTTGGAAAATGGCATCTTTTATTGGAAGTGGTTTCTGTTGGAGCAAAGAGGAACAGCTGCTGAACTGAAAATAAGAAAATCCAGCTGTGCTCCATCTAGTCCTGTTATATTTTCTTTACTCTTTAGTACATTGATGAATGATATATATGCGCTTGCAAATTTTCAACCTTTTGAAAGCGGTTCTTACTAAAGTTCTTACTAAGCTTAAAGGCGATTTCCAGTCAGATCTTATTTTCTTATAACTCTTATTAGCTGTAATGACACTGCAAGACGATACGTGATTGTAGGTTTTGGTTTTGTAAAGGAGCCAAAAGTTGAGAAAGATTACCAACGCTGCTTCGTTTTCAGTTTCAGTTTTGCCCTTCAAATAGATTTGACTTGGTAGTTTGAGCCTAAGCTCAAGCATCAGTGTCTTGAACCTCGTTATAATCAACGACTCTTAACCAGTGTGGACACTCTGCATATCTCGTCTGTTCTCCTTGCAGTACGTTCCCACTCAGAAAACACGTTTTTACTACAATGCAGTTGTGGTGCATCGTGGTAACCACAGATGTCAGAAGTTAAACCCGATTGCAGCACAGATTCCACTACTTGCACGGCGTTGCAAAAGCTTACGACTAAGTCAGTTTAAAATGAACAATTAATTACACATTATGACTTAAACATGGACTCCAAGAAGCTGGCAGCCACAAATCTCTGAGGTACCCATCTAAAGACAGGCATGATAGATTACTGCTAGTATTCTCACTGTGCTGTTTTTGCTGTTGTCTTTGAACATCAATTCTCAAACCTCCAAAAACCACATGCAGACAACCGACATTGGCTACATCTCTGGAAGTGTCTGTGGGTATCTGTCAGCTGGACTAACTAGCTGTCTGCTGCCACCCTGTCCACAGCTCATTGATTACTGAAACCCCCTCTGCTCAGAGGCTATTTGCTAGTGGCTCAGGGGGGCAATGGTTTCCTGGCAAACAGAGTGCGTCCGGGCTAAACTGAGCTCTTTTTTTTTTTCATACCCTGACAGACGTTTGCTAAATGAGAGATCGAATACATTAGCGCAGAAGGTACACATTTGCGACTGCTGCACTTTGCCGATGCTGCTCGTGTTTTCGAGTGAACATGGTTATTTGCAGTTGTCGTACACAAGCGAGGCCTGATTATGTGGTGCTCGAAGACCAGACTCATTCATTTTCCCTGTGGCATTTTGATATGTGTTTGTGGATGTCATCTCTCTGGCCGCACCGCTACTTTTAGATGCTTTTTTTTTTTTTTACTTGGGAGGAGGGGTTACCATCTATTTCTACACACAGTTGGCATTAATGATCTGTTATGTTAGCCACTAGCAGTGGTACCTTTGGTCTGGCATCCTGTCGATACACTGTGTATATATAAATCAAGCTGAGCTCAAGGTTAAACATTTTATGTGTGTGTTGGCTGCTTTCTGTGCTGCTGGTGCTGAAATCTGGACAATAAATGGCCTCAGTCAGGACGTTTGCATAGCCTAATTAGCATGAATAAAGTTGGCCTTTTACTTTAATTTTTGCTGTCAGCAAAGTCTGTCTCCATACTTTCTAACTTCTCTTCCGTGTCTGTGGTGCTCTTGTCTTGCCTGTTAGTTCCTACTATTTAGGACAAATGTATATTATTTAAGTTTAAATAAAATGTTAATTTA